AGGGGCAGCGGGAGGGGGCAGGGAAGGGGACGTGCATCTGAGAAGGGAGGAGGGGAAATGCTTCACTTTGTCAACACTTAGCTGCTGCTCCCAAGGTACGGTCTTCCTGTCTCAGTGGAGAGGAGAAGAGGGAGGAGGTTATGGGTAGGGAGTGCAGTCACCCCTGCAGTGCCAGTCACTGCAACTACCCCACCCAACTTCATAAAATCTTAGATCTGCTTCTGGCTTGACCAATTTCATACTGATTTCTATGGAGCTAAATCTGTAAGTAACAAAATTCATGTATAACAAGTTTTCAGACCAACATTGCAACACTTTTCTTTTCTCTGCCCTGTAAGGCCTTTGACTATCTTCCCTTTGCTGTTGCTTTTTTCATAGACACATGCTATGATTCTTATCTATTCATGGAAGTGTCCATACAGTGCTTTCCAGAGAACCAAGAAGGAACAAAGAGATTCTGAAGAGTTCACACATAATAAATAGGCAGACAAGGGCGCAGAGGTTGGAAAAGTGAAGACACGTTCAATGTTCCATTTAATATATGTAGGGATGCTACATAGTTCAACTGATCTGGGGGAAATTGATGCATCTATTTTGGTGTATTGAGAAAAATATTCCGTGGATTAAAGGGATGCTCTTTTATTTGAATAAATAGTTCATTTACAAATAAATAATGAATATAACATGTAGCTACATTGGCTTTAGGCAACATGGCAGGAATAGGTCTACCTAAATTACATAAATATAGTGAGGATCAGGATCTGCATGAGCTCAGAAATGCTGAACCAAGCAAAGAATAAAGGAGGACAGTAATTGAAAATACATCAAAATATTTAAATGCAAGGTAGGTAAATGGGTGGTCCAGGATAGAAATCTGAATGGAAGTGGCCAGCAAAGAAGGTGGTGACAAGAAATGAACCCAATATAATCTTCATGAAAAAATGATTATTAAAAAAGAATAATATTTTGCCTGTAAATCTTGCATGCAAACATTATTGAGAAGACAAGTAAGACTTTAGTCTTAGTTTGTCAGGAATCTCTCTCTCAGAAGCTGCTCTAATTAAACACCACAGCACCTCATGTATATTCAGCGTCCCGTGTTTCAAAATGGCAGTGGGGGCACTTTAACTAAAGTTTGTTCAACGAGCTTTAACTAAAGTGCCCCCTTTGAAATGCAGGATGCTGAATACATGAGATGCTGCAGCATGTTGGAACATTTTAATTTGAACACTCCAGCAGACTTGATTAATCAAGTCTGCTCCAACGCACTGTAACTGGAATGCGTTGGAGCATATGAATAGGCACCCTGGGTGCCAACATTTTGTAGCACAGCTGTTTCCTATCCTTTTTGAGTTTGAGAACCTAGGAGAATCTCCTCTAATTTCCATTCGTGAATCCTGTCTCTATTTTCTACCATGAAGATGCTTCAAGTTTTTTCATTATAAAAGAATACTAAGTATGACCTTTCTTCTAAGAATGAAAAAGTAATCATCCAGTGACATCATTTACTGAATGTTTAGTATCAAAACAAAGAATTAACCATCAGCACTTGAAGTGATTCAAGCTGTGCTGCCTTTTAAAGAGTTTATCTTTACTCACCAAGAATAATATGGTCTTAACAAAATGTTCTTACATTCTGTGGCAAGGAAAACGTAATATTTTACCAGCACTGGGTTCTAATGTGACATTAAGTAACTATGGAGAGTATACATTCACTTTAAGCAATTATTCATTACAGCATTGTCAAGTAAAATTGTGGCTTTTTATAGAATGGTACAAACTAAACTAAAAAGGTGGGGAAAAGGTTAGGATGTCTGCAGCATTGCTAATTCACTGAAAAATCCTGCTTTGGCTATATGCTACCTATTTTCCTGTTTAAGGTCATCTCCATAATTTGACAGAAGTGAACTGAAAATAAAGCATAAATTCCTGCTTATTCTAAAAGAAGGTAGCCAACTGCCATGAAATTTCAGAAGCTGTTAATTTTTATGCCCTTTAATTTTCTATGTGGTGCTTTTTTTGATTCCTCTTCATAAATTTTTAATAATTAAGTCACTGAATTTTTCCTTGGTAGGGGCACTTTTATTTTTTCAATATCCCAGAGCACTTCTTTTCATACAGGTCTACCTCCTACTTTAGAAACACCTGACCCAAGCATTAAAAAAAAAACCACTTAGGAAGTATACACACACAAAAGAAGTCCTGTGTTGTGAATACTTATAGTTGCTAGAGGCAAAATGTGCTTGACACAACATCCAAAAACAAATAAATGGGAAATGAAAAATAAAACCACTGCTTGCATAACGTCTGTTCTTTCATGCAATTGACACCTTACCATATCCACTAGTAAGTACTCTGTATGGTAGGCCATACAACAGAAGGTAAACCCTAAAGCTGCCTGCCTTTCACTCTCCCCACCCACTTTTAATGATCCTTCTGTAAACAAGCCTTTACCAGGATACAAGATATGAATTCTTTGAAGTGAATTTTGTGGGTTGCATCAGGTATGTTGTGTCTCTAGCAACCCTAACTGCTTTACAATAAAAATGTTAGTTTGTTGTAATTAGAATTGGTTGGAAATTTTCCATCAGACAGATTTTCTGATACAAACTGCTGCATATTTCAATTTGGCTGACAAAATTTTATATTCTATCAGGATAATTTAAATACCGGGTCCTGAGCTGTCTGCATGGAAGACTCTTCTGAATTTCCATCTCTACTTGACCAAAGCTTTCCAGGAAGGCTACCAAGATTGAATCTCCCATTTTTTTTGCCTGCCTTCCTTTAGCTGCATTTTCTCAAGACTAAAGTAATGGTTGTAGAGCAAAGAAGTGGGGAAATCAGCCTCCCCACCTTTTCCCATTTCTGAACTACAGCACATGAGCACTCTGCCTCTACAGATCTGCATCTGGGGCTGAGACAGGGAGACTGTTCAGCAACAAGACTGAAAATCTCTTAACAAATTCCCTTTCTGCTACCTAACAACAGCCAGCATGGTGGGCCCTCAAGAAGCTGAAAAACTCTATTCTGGTTTTCATAAAGCACATTATTTTTGGAAGTTCCTTCCCTGAAAAATTCTGTCCATCTTGACATAAGTCAAAACTTTTTCAAACACCTGACTGTATGTGTGTATGCATGCACACATGCCCACATGAAGGAACTTCTATATTCCACCCAAATTTAATGTGGAATAAGTGGTGAGTAAGTGGCCATGTGCAACAAAGAGCTCCCTCCTCAGCCCCAGGGGTGGAATTGGGCTGATGCAGCCCAGCACTGCTCATGTGCAGAGACTTACAGGAGTCAGTGAAGGTGCTCCACTTTGGAGTGCCTTCATCTGAACCCACTGGGCTAATTTGTCATGTGACTGGGCACTTTTAAAGTGCTCTGCAGACATGCACTTCTGTCAGGACAAGGCTGTAGCAAGCTTTCAGGGGGCTGAGTGCATGACAAATATCACTTCTGTCAGTGCTCTTTAAAGAGACAATTTGCTTTTCACAGATTAGTAAGGAGTCTTTTGGCTTCAGGAAGTCTGACAACCACTCCTTATATATGAGGTTTTAAAATGTCTTATGCTCCAATATTACAATTGAGCAGCTACAATACAGATTTCATTTTATTTATACACTGTTTATTATGCCATGTCTCCTTATGAGGAACTTAACTGTAGGTATGGATATAGGGAATCTCTATACATTCTGCATTCTCTTTTCTCCTGGAGACATGGCTCTGCACCCAGATTTGGACAAGGATGAAACAAAATTGGCTGTTTCAGTCAAATTTCTAGCAAACATTTGATCACGTAATAAGACCATTGTACAGCTTGTAAGACCCTACTTAGAAGGGCAGCAGAGATGAATGAGAATCAGGTTTATAATCCAGAGCTACATATGACATGAGCAATTTCTGATATACAGTATTGTAATTTTGACCATGATACTGAATGTCTTACTCTTGCTAATAAAACAACTACCTTGATTTTTCAGCAAGAGAAATTTCCTCCCAAAGTAACACATTTCAGAAGTCAGAGAACAAACAAGTCAAGCAATAATTAGTAAAGTTAGTAATTAGTTAAAAACTAATAATTAGTTAACATTAGTAATAAAGTTAAAACATTTGTGAATAAGTAGGAAAACATAGTTATAGTAAAATTGCAGTCAGTGCATCTTCATTTTAAACTGATTTAGGCGAAAGATGATAACTGTATATCAAAATTTGTTAGATGGCATACAAAAACTTAAGTAAGCGATACTAAGTTAAACCATATCAGAAAAGCTGATCTGGTACAACATAACAAAGAAGCAAAACCCCACAATCTAATGTGATGGGTACAAATGGATTCAATGTGATGCTTGTTTCTGGTACTTTGTTAGCATTTAAATAACTGCATCAAAATTACTTTGACCTCAAAAATTAAAAATCACATCACTACTTATTTTCAGTGAATAATGCTACAGTTATATTGTGGTTTTGAGAGTATTGCCTAATTTGATTACCTAAATTTCAAGACAGAAAAATACAAATGAACTGAATAAATTAACTGATCGAGTCAAATTATATCCAAATTCTTCTGAGAATCTAAAAGACAGCTGTGCTCTACCCTCTTTTGAAATATTTTAGAGTTACAATTGAGGATCCTTGTTAAAATATATATACGTGTCAACTGGAAAGGACATTTAAAATGGATACATAGAGGAGGAATATCAGAAGTGTTCATCCTGGCAACTCAGCGTATCAAGGAGTACAGTTATTTTACAATCCCAAACCTAATGATTCAGAGGTTATTCTCCAGGATTTATTATTCCCTTATTATAATCAATGAAACTAAACATATTCTTCATTTTTGGGAATAGGAATGTTATTTCTTAAAGAAACAGGATCTTTGCATGCATAACAGATGGTTCCCATCAGAGGGGGTTGATTACTCTTACAATAACCTCGTACTTTATATCCAGCATGGTAGGAATCCAGATTTAGCTGGATGTGAACATGTATCCACTTACTGTTGGTTGCATAACATATGGCGGATGAGGCATCCATGAAGTACTCTGGACCTGCATGTCAAAACAACTTTTATTAGTACAAATCAATAGAAAACAGAGCCCCATTCTTGCTTTAGGTATCCTTTGCCTTTCGTACTGCTACGATTAAAGATGAACTTCTTTTTAGAAGAAGATTGTAACTAGAGACAAACTTCATTTATGACGTAATGTTATTAGCAATAGAAACTCTCAGAACCCATTCACTAATTCACTATGCTCAGGAGTCTGAAAAATGGCATTGTATCTATGCTTCACTTGTTATAGTGGTATAGTGATCCCATAGTGAGTGTATAGTGGCATAGTGATCACTGTATAGTGACCCTGAATGTGTCATGTATCATCCAATAGATAGCACAATAGGCTGAAAACTTTAGGTAAAATTTTCAAAAGCTTCGTAATGATATCGAAGATTAATCTTATTTTCAAAAGTGACATTATCAAACATCTTTATGGAAGTCTCATTTAAAACGAGTCTCTGAAGAAATTGTACTTTGTGCTGCCATGTGGAATTTACTAAAGCTATCTTAGTAGGAGACCCTGGTGAGATACACTTATATACACTTCAAGCCAAGAAGACAGACAAAGATGGAGAGTGGAACAAATTTTAATTTTAATTTTAGAATACCTGATTTTAAATTTCACTTACTATGGGTCACAAAATATTTCTGGTATATCAGTTTCTTGTACTGTTTTTGGCTCAAGAAAGTTAGCCATAAGTCCCTCACTTTTATGATCATTAAACTCATCCATAAATATTTAAGAAAGTCACGCCAGGCAACAATGAAAAGTATATACTGCAATAAACTTGCTACTCTAAAGGATGTTCCACCTTCTAGTCAGGGGAAACTTCAGGACTCCTGCTCCTCAAACTGATGTTGGTGACACTACATTCCAGAAGTATTAATCATTAATAAATATCTGTAATGACATTTTGACATCAGCATCAGAAAAGTCTGAACACCGCACTGTCCTGCCACAACAAAGACATCAAAGTGGAAATGTTCATGGGAACCTGAAGGAGAATAGAACAGTTTTCCCCAAAGTATCTTGCTTTACAAGGCACTACTTAAGAGAAATGTATGTTGTTAATGGGTGTCAGTCAGGCAAGTACAACTCAGAGCAATAGCTCAAAATATAATGAACATGAAATAAATCGCAAAGAGGTGCATTTTCTAAAATTTGGCCAATGAAAGGAAGCCAAAATGACAAGATGTTTTATTAAGTAGGACAATTTTTTGCTCAAGTCAACTGGAAATGAATGAAAATGCTAAGCATTTGAAAAGCTGATTGAAGATAGACAAAAACATGGTTGCTTTAATTTTTCAGTGTAAAGTATCCAGGAAATGCTCGAAACCTTACACTAAGTGGTGCCTGAATGCAAATAAAGAGCCTTGGTTTAAAGCATGATTAAAGTGTGAAAGTCACTCACTTTTGTGCCATACATACTTTGCCTTTGTCCACATCCAAACCAGAATTGTTAAGGGGAAGGGGAAATCTGACGTACCTGGTATGTAGAGACAGGGGAAGCAGCAATGAATGGTGTGATAGATGTCTGTGGAATCATGCGATTTGTTGCAATACTGTACGGTGAGGAATAAAATCTGCAAACAGAAAACAAAGGGGAGATTCTTGAAGCTTTTGACTGCCAGACTCCAGTCAAATAATTCACTGCCTCCCGGGCAAAGACAAAGAAAATCTACACTGTTAATTATATCTGTCTCTCCAAAACTGTAATAAAAAAGGGATGCTCTGGCTCTATGGGTTTTTTTTCCCTCTTTCCTCCTGCCTCAATTCATTCTCAAGATCACTTGTATAGAACTTTTCAAGATACTCATTAAAAAAATGCAGAAGGCATCTGTTTGAAATGCAAAGTGGCTGATTTTCCAAAATGTCATCTACTCTGGAAAAATTTCTCAGACTATATCAAAGGCATGAATATTGATTTCATGTACACGTGCAATTAATGATTTCCTCTCCCATTTTAGTATGGAGGATGGACACTATATTCTCTATATGCCCTGAATTATCTTATTAAAGAATGGTTGCAGTAAATATGTCCTCTGATTGAGAGTTCACATCCAATTAGGAGAATTAAATACTGTACTTGTTTTTCATTAAAATAAATTTAAATGAGTCTAAGCCTCCTATACAGAACTGAACAGCTCTATCTTTTGTTCCTTTTATTTATACTCCTATAGGCTACCTACCTAAATATTATGTTACCTGTTACTTGCTGTTAACAGAGGTTAAATATTGTTTTTCCCTTGGGGTTAATGGTTATTGACAAAATTATCACTTGAACTGTATTAGTACTTGCATCATATACTACATATGCATGTATATATTCTCTTAGTCTTCTATATTTGTTTTCTTTGTGTTTTAACTCAGAGACCAAATGAACAGATTTTGAGCTGTGGTGCCACTGAATGCGTGAGAGGCATGGGTTCTGTGCATGTGTGGTGGGGGTGAGGGGAAGCACAGGAGTCTTACACCAGGGATTCAAAACCCATCCCCAGTTGCTGCTGCTGCCACCACAGCTACGGTATCATTTAACCTCCCCAATTATTGCTCTTATGGCAGCAGTGCAGTATTTGCACACCCAGCTGCTGCTGCTGCTGCAAGAGCAACATCATGTTGACTGATCATGGGACTACTTTTACTGTCAGAGTGCAGACTCTGTGGGAGTGGGGGAGCCATTCTAATGCCCCTCCTAAGTTGAAGCCTGAGGCCTGTGCCCCGCTCACCACCTCTAGTTATGTTACTGTTTAAAATTATAAAAGATAATAATTGCAAAGACTTTCAGGAGAGTCTGTGGATTAACAATGACAAAGACTTTTGATTCTCCAGAACAGATGAAATTTACTCCATGCAATAGCATTTTGTATCATTTAAGTCTCATGCAAGTCCAGTGTGATTAGAGGATTTAAGTGGTGTGTAGCATCCTACACAGATCCTCTCTGCCTAAAGACAGATTGAAAAGTGTTCTCTCCTTTTCTATTGAATCTCCACAATACCCAGGAAGGAAAATCAAAAGTATGCTTTCACAACAGTCATGCAAAAAACCCCTCCCAAATAAACCTTTAGTTTGCTTGCACAAATACACTACTTAACAATCACACCGGCAAGTAAACCTTGACAATCAAAATGTACTACTAGTCAGTCCATTTAATGTGGCAAATTCCATATGAGGACTAAAATAAATCACTGAGCTAGGAGCAGCAGCTAGTCTGGGAAAAGCAGGCTGCCTTCTTTAGGACTATCAGGAGAAATTTCCAAAGTTATGGGAGTGCTCAGGGTGAAGGGAGATGAGGGGAAAGGAGAGATCGAAATTACTTCTCTTCAGTAGTCCAGATAAGACTTTATAATGCCACGAGTAGCAGGCTGGACTATGGGGAAAATAATTAAGGAAATAACAACATATTGCCATTTTAAAGAGTATCTCTATAGCTTGATAATGCTAAAAAATAGGGCTCTGTTCTTAACATTATTTTCTGTAACATTTTACATGTATCATGTTTATGAGAGGATCAATGGATAGACAGATATATTGTATGTTCTGCTGCTGCTCAGCCAGCATTTACCTGCTTTTAGAACAAAAGGCTTTTTCTGAATACATTTAACTGTGGGTTAACTTGGGAGCACAGGGAGTATGTTATCCCTTGTCCTGTTAGAATGATGTATTGACCATAAGAAGTGATCTGTTCCTAGTCAATGGCTAATCAGATTTCATAATGGCCATGCAGATGTACCAAGAACAAGCTGTACGCCATAAATGAAAGCAATCAGTACCTGCCTGATGGGCAGAATTTAATCCGGGGGAAAAAATGCATAATAGAAATATAAATAAATCTCTCACATAACAGGATATTATAAGAGCCTTTAGAGAAAACAATGCACTTTGTTCCTTCTTTTCTACTCTTATCCATCAAACTTGTCATGGTGTTACACTCTTGAGGAAGTTAAAACATAGCCACTCACAGTGATAGCCATTTAAAAGAGTTCAAGGGAGAAACAACTTCCTGTTTGATCTCATAATGTTGGTATTCCAGAATAATCTCCTCCAGTAAATCCAAGAAAATACTGTCAAACTCACAGGAAACGTTTGCTAAGCCAAAAACCTTGAAAGACAGCTAGCCATTTTATTTTCAGCTTGAGATGCAGTTATCTAAATGGTACATACACTTTTAGAAAACATGCTCTGGTAATGTGAAAAATATATCCCTTCCAACTCCCCTGTCACTGGCATTTATCCATCAAGGTCCAGAACACTTTCAAAAAGGTATCAAATAAAATAAGTAATTAGGACAGTCAGATATATTCCTAAATCAAATGCAGCAGAGAATCTTGGAAGAGAAAGGAGAGAAATTGGACAGAGAACAACCTTTTAACCCCCAAAAACCACGCCTACAGTTGTACTGAAATGTTAATGATGTGGAACAAGATTCCAGGTTGGTATGTCACTCTTATACTCAGTATCTCTTATACTTGGAGCAGGGATAGCCCTCCTGCTATTATGGCTCCATTATTCTAGAGCAAAAAGAGTCTGACAAAGAGTCTGGTGGAGAGAATCCCCTCCTTAAAGAAGGTCATCAAAGGAGTTGTAGGGTGTTCTCTCAAAACATCTTTGCAAACCCTGGAGTAGTGTAGTGGGGGGACTTGCTGGGGTCTGGACCAGAACCTGGAGGGGACAAGGGCACAACTACAGCAACACTGGATGGCACCACTGGGCTGCTACAAGCAGGTGCCCGAGGCTGCTAAAGTTAAACATTGAAAGTTGATTCCACTGTATGCAGGATTACAGGAGTAAAGAAAACATGCTGATAAACACCCAGAGAAATGGGTGCTCTGAGATGCCTTCAAGCAGTCCCATTTAACTTGCACACAATTTATAAGGACAACTTTATAGAGACACCTTAACATTGGGGCAGGTAAAATATGGCCCATGGGCCAGGCCATTCTATCCAGCCCACAGGGCCTCTAAAAATTTTAGAAAATTAATATTTATCTGCTCCTGGCTGCCTGTTAAAGCTGACAGGAGCCAAGGGCAGTAGGATTCAGGAGGCACGTCCAGATGAGTGTGCACGTGCCTCTTGCTCAGTCTCAAACCCCTTTCAGGGAAACAGGCACATGTGGGAATGAAAAAATGTTCCCCACGCTGCAAGTTTGCAGCATGGGGAGAAAATTAGACCCCTGGATATCCAGGGGTCTAAAAAAATTGAAGTTTAAAAAAGCGGAGCAGGGCACAGTCCCAGACCATGCCCTGAGGCAACCAGAGGCTGGGTCCTCCATGGAGACACTCTGGCTGCAGAGCGTCTCTGTGGTTGGCCCCTCGCCCTAGTGCTGAAACACGTGGCTGGCCAGGCCACATGTTCAGCACCAGGGCTCCAGTGCCAGTAGCCAGTCCCCACAAGGCCCCCAACCCCTGCCCTGCCTGGCCCCTCCCCCCGCCAGCTTCCCCAAGGACCCTGATCACTTTTCTGCCCTGCCTCTCCCCCCCGCCAGCCTCCCTGACCCTGCCAAACCCTGCCCTGCCTGGCTTCAGCCTCTCCCATAATATTTCCTTTTGCTTTCTTGGTAACTCTTGAAGCAATTCATTCAAATCAAATGGATAAAATACATCTTGCTGAAAAGTGATTAAAAAAAATGACAGCACAAAAATTATTTCTTTATTCTGTGGAAGTGCATTGTTACATGTGAAGGGATGTTATTGCAATGGAATAAATGCTTCTTTTTTAACATACAACAAAAAACAGTGTGCCCCCAGATCAGCTTTTAACTTCAGTGAATCTTTCCTATTACACTCAATAAAGAAATACTAATAAAGAAAACAATTATTTGCTTGAAATTATAATTTTATGGAAATTATAATTTATATATTATCTAGCTACTACCTTGTGACTAAATTAAAAAGAAAAGACCCTATGTTCCAACTCTGCTAGGGAAGTGCTTGTAGACCCACACCACTTTTTGGTCTCAAAAAGCAGCTGTGCCAAAGGATGTATGGTGTCACAGGCTCTGCAACATCTGTGTGTTTGGGCTGTGCTACAGACTGTTGGCATTGCTCCTGTGGACAGACATCTGTCTTTTTCTCACTAGTGCCTGGGGATGCACGTTGGGGGGGTGAGGCTAGGTGGAGCAGCCATTGGGGGGGTTGCAAACTTGCAGCGCAGGGAGAAAATTAGACTGGGGTGGGGCATGTGGGCCTTGCAGGGGGGCTGGAAGCCCCTGTTGGGGGGCCGAACCACCTGTTGGGGGGCTAAATCCCTTGTTGGGGGGCCATAGCCCTTGCGTGGGGGGCCGAATCCCCTGTGGGAGGGCAGCAAAATATATATTCATGTATTCATGAAATGTGTTTAGAGTTCGCTTTATTATTATAATAAGAGACTTGCTTTAACACTGAAGATAAATAAATACACTGTCCAACTGATCACTGTCTCTGTCTCACTCTCTCTCTCTCTCTTTATAGTGGTCTTTTGTTTTACTTGTGGAGGAACATGGATTTGTGGGTATTTTACAGAGTGACTTTGGGATTTTTTTTTATCAGAGATTTTTCAGTTTTCCAATAGGGAACATCAGAATTCCTGCTAGGGAGGCCAGTGGT